CTGAAACATGTGTTTTTGAATAAGAAATCTCAAATCCCAAACATATTTTTGAATGAGAAATCTCAGATCTAAAACTTAAGTTTTGAATGAGAAATCTCAGATCTGAAATCTTAAACTTATGTAAACCCTAGGAGAAGAATCGCCGGAAGGAAAAGCTTGAGAGAGAGAGAGAGAGAGAGAAGAATACGAAATTGAGATTGTAGATGATGGTGCTCACCTTAGTCAACGGTGGTGATGGTGGTGGCGGTGGAGCTTCAAAATCGAGAGAGAGAGAGCTTCGAAATCGAAATCACTTTGAGATTGGATCTGAGATGAAACCGAGCTGAAGAAGGTTGAATCTTAATCTCTGAGACTGAAGGGTTTAGAGAGAGAGAGAGAGCGATCGAGTGAGTGAGAGATTTGAGGGATCGAGTGAGTGAGTGAGAGATCTGAGATGAAACCGAACTGAAGGTTTCCAGATTCAAAATGAGGGCCTGAAGAGAGAGACAGTGAGAACGGTTCTGATAGCAGAGCTAAGAGAGAGGGAGGAATAACATTGTAACACATGTGAAGGCGTTAAAAAACGACTTCTATTCCTTAAACGGTACCGTTTTAATTAAAATAAAAGGTGACGTTTATAAAACGTCGTTAAAGGTTAGAAACAGTGGTGTTTATAAAAACGTCGCTAAATAAACGCCGTTAAATTCTATATTTCTTGTAGTGAAGGCAGATTGTACTTTGTTAATCACATTAGGTAGTACTAGCTTGATTCTACTTGCTAGCACTTTGGATAACACCTTCTAGAAGGAGTTAATTAAGCTGATAGGTCTGTAATCAAGAATTGAAGATGGATTCTCTTTATTAGGAATAAGAGTTACAAAAGAGAAGTTCACTCCATTACCTAACCTACTGTTCCTCTGGAATTCTTGCATAAACTTTGGGGGTGTTTGTTTGGACTTTTTTGAGCCAACTTATAACTTTTAGATTTGAAAAAGTTATTTCGGACTGTTTGGTTAAACTTATTTCAAACAGTCTCTGATTCTAACAACTTATTTTAACTCAAAAAAGCTGATTCTGATAAACTGCTTAGCCCTTACTTCTGATTATCAATTTCTGCTATAGACATGTTAATTTACGATTATACTCTTAGATTTTTTTATTATTTATTTTTTAAAAAATAGAAAAAGACCCAAATGTCATTTTTCATGAACTTCCAACACTTCTGAAAACAAGTTAGGTTGAAACCATCTCGACCTAGGGCTTTATTTCCATCGGGAACTTTGAAACATGTTATATATCACTTTTATTTATTTATTTATTTATCATTTTATATTACTAAGTGCATGATAATATATTATTTATTTTTATTATTTTGTTAATAATTATTTTTAAATAAAAAACCAATCATAAATATTTATTTACATAGGTGATAAAAAAGATGAAAGCATTTCTCATTGAATTATTAAAATTAGAAAAGAGCAGTATCTGATGTTACAATCAACCCATTTTCACTAATGTCACAAACATTTCAAATTTTAGTCACAATTTTTTACTTTTGGATAAACTTAATCTAAATACACTTAAAAAATATAATATTTATGAACAAAAAAAAAAACGAAAATATACTTCTTCTTTTTTCTTAAAAAAAGAAAGAAAAAGAGATAAAGATAAAGAATTAGGGTAGATATCATGGTGTCTTAGGTTCGTTTCATAATTCCCTCAATTAATTAAAATATTAAATGCATGGAAACATTAAAGTTTTCTCCCATATGTTAAATTTTATGAAATTAATCTTTACTAAATGAAATTATTCACAAAAAATTTTAATTTCAAATCAATTTCGTTTCTCTAGGTTCAAAAAACTAAATTCTATTATTATCATCATTATTATTCATTAGGTTTTTGTAATTAACAATCCCGTTTGACGAAATTCCTTTTAGTTGTAGTTTTAATCGCTCTTATGTTTGGTGAGGATACGAGTGTTTAAATGTGAATTCAACCCGAATTGTGTTTTTGCTTGCCACTGCGTTGACTATGTACGGAGATTGAGCAGTCATTTATGCGTTCGAGCAAAGAAAAGAATCATCCAATATTTTTGCAGAGCGGCTTTCACGATTCAGTTTACTATAAAGTGCGTCGTTTGCTCGTTTTAGTGTTGGAGCCATCCAGATTTTCAAAGAGGAAGAAAAAACAAAGTGTTTTATATTGGAGGGTGCTTTATGAGTGTTTCCTTGATAATTTAAGAGTGATTCCTTGATAATTTAAGAGTGATCAATGGATCCGTAAACTTCTTCATATCATCATCATCAAGGGTTTGGTTGTTGTCTTTTATTCACAAAAGAGAGAGTTGTTCTTCGGTGGATTTCGGGGAGTTTGCACTTGAAGCTTTGGTTAATTCCGGAGCAGCCACTACAAGAAAAGTGGGTATATGAGACGGGACTATTTGCGATGGTATTTTCTGCTGTCGCAAATACTCTGTTTTTTTGAGACGACAAATTGTGCCGTCGCAAATGCTCTGCTTTTTTGAGACGGCAAATGGTGCCGTCGCAAATACTCTGCCTTTTTGAGACGGTATTTTCTGCCGTCGCAAAAAGTGACTTTCGTGTTTTTTTTTAATTTTTAGTGAATATTTTTAAATTTTTAAATATTTTTTTAGATACACCTTACTTAGATGTATCTAAAAAAAAATTATGAAAAAATATTTTTAAAAATTAATAAATACATAAAAATAAAAAAAAAAATGTATTGAAATATTGTATTTTTGGTATTTAGTGAATTTTTAAAAGATTTTTTTTACAATTTTTTTAATTTTTAGGTGTATTTATGTTAGGTGTGTCTAAAAATTAAAAAAAATACTTAAAATATTAAAAAAAATTCAGTAAAAACAATATAACACGGAAAACAAGAAAGCATAATTTTCTCAAAAGAGTTTTTGGAAAACTCTAACCTAGCATAGTGATTGTGGTTTTGAGATAGCTTCATATATATACAGTCATAAAATAGTTTGAATAAATTTAACGGTATTTTTCTGTCGCAAAAAAAATTAAAAAAAAAAAAACAATGTCGTCTTACTCTTTTGATATAACATTTCTCTTTTCATTCATTTTTTCATCTTCCTGTCTCTCTGTCTTTGTCTCTCTCTCTCTTCTCTTTATCTCTTTCACTCATCACTCTTCTTTCTTTATCTGTCTGTTTCTCTCTCTTATTTTCTCTCTGTGTCTCTCGCCTATCTCTCTTCTCTTTATCTCTCTCATTTGTTTTCTCTCTCTGTCTCTCTCGCTCATCTCTCTGCTTTCTATCTCTCTCTTTTTTATCTTTTTATCTCTTTCGCCCATTTCTCTTCTCTCTCTGTCTCTTTCTTTTTCTATGTCTCTCTCTCGCTCATCTCTTTTCGTTCTATTTCTCTCTCTTTTTTGTCTATCTCTCGCTCATCTTTTGTTTCTCTCTCTTTTTCTATCTTTCCCTCTATCTCTATCTCTCTTTTTCTCTTTTTCTCTCTATCTCTTTTTCTGTCTATCTCTCTCTCTCCTTGTCTCTCTCTCACTCATCACTCTTCTCTCTCTCTCTACTTGTCTATTTGTCTATTTCTCCCTCACTATGTTCGCCTTGCTCACTTTCTTACTCCTATCTTCTCTAGTTATCGAGCTCCTTCTCGATTTATCGATCCACTATAAACGACGTCGTCTTACTCTTTTGAACATTTCTCTTTTCACCCATTTTTTCATCTTCCTATCTCTCTGTCTCTGTCTCTCTTCTCTTTCCCTCTCTTACTCATCACTCTTCTCTGTCTGTCTGTCTCTCCTTTTCTCTATGTGTCTCTGTCTCTCTTCTATGTCTCTCTCTCACTCATCACTCTTCTCTGTCTGTCCGTTTCTCTCTTTCTCTCTGTGTCTCTGTCTCTCTTCTCTTTCTCTCTCTCACTCATCACTTTTTTTCTGTCTGTCTGTCTCTCTTTTTCTCTGTATCTCTCGTCCATCTCTCTTCTCTCTATCTCTTTCATCTATCTTCTCTCTCTGTCTCTCTTCTTTTTTTCTCTCTCGCTTTCTCGCTCATCTCTTTCTGGCTCTCTCTCATTTATCTCTTTTTGCTCTTTTTTTTTTCTCTCTCTCTGTTTCTCTCTTGTCTATATCTTTTCACCCATTTTTTCATCTTTTTCTCTCTATTTTCTTTCTCTCTCTCATTCATCACTCTTCTCTCTCTGTCTGTCTATTTGTCTCTCTCTCTCTCTCTGTGTCTCTCATTCATCTATCTCTTCTCTCATCTCTTTTATCTCTCTCTGTGCCTCTCACTCATCTCTCTCTCTCACCACTCATCTCATTCCACCACCACCACTACTTCCACTGTCGCCACTTCACCTCTACGATTACCATTACTACTACCATCGCCACCACTCCACTATCACCACTACCACTATTGCCACTACTACTACTGCCATTACCTCTCTTTCACCCCTGTTACTCCATCTACTCTACTACCATTACCTCTCTTTCACCCCTGCTACTCCATCTACTCTACTACTACCACAACTTCACCACTAATCTCCTTCGTCATCACCACCACCACCACCACCGCCACCATCATCTCTTATCCACCACCTTCACCACTACTACCACTGCAAATGCCACATTGACCACAAAAAATTAATTTTATTTTAATGGAAAATATTATCCCTACTTCTACGAAATAAAAAAATAATAATAATTTTTTATTCATTGAAATAAATATGAAACAAATAAAATTTCAACCTTACTAAATGAAAAAATAAAAATAAAAATTCATTAACTATAAAAAAAATTATTTTTATTGCAAAAAAAAAAAATCATTTTTATTATTTAAATATTTATTTGTAATGAAAATAAAAATAAAAAAAATCCAAAAAAATTTCCATGGCCACCCCCCTCTTTCCATTCCCACCCAGTTCCCCAATTCCCTCTTTCCATTCCCGCTTCCCCCCTCCCCAAAAAACCCAAACCCCCCATCTAGAGAGAGAGAGAGAAAAGATCATCGATCTCGTGGATCATCGATCTCGTCTCCTCTCCGCCCTCTCTCTCTCTCTCTCTCTCTCTCTCTCTCTTATTCATCCTCTTCAAACCCTAATTTCTTCCTTCGATCCACCTCTCGTCGTTCAATCTTCCACCCATTGTTTCTCGTTGTGTTTGGGAATCTAGGGTTTTTTTTTTCTGTGAAACCCTAAGAATTAATTGAAGAGGGAGGAAGGGAGGGAGAGAGAGAGGTTTGATGGCGCAAAATGGGCAGGGGATGGACCCTGCCGTTCTTGATGATATCATTAATCGGCTTTTGGAGTTTCGGCAGGCGAGGAGTGTACGCCACGTCCAGGTCCAGCTCTCCGAGGCTGAGATCCGTCAGCTTTGCATCGTTTCGAGAGAAATCTTCCTCCAATAACCCAATCTCTTAGAGCTCGAAGCCCCCATCAAGATCTGCGGTAAAAATTTCATCTTTTTCTTTGTTTATGTTATGTAACTCTGTATTTGTTTGCTGTTGGTTTTGGGTTTGTAAGATATTTGTTTGTTTGTGGGTTGTTCTTATCTTGGTTACACACATACATATATCCGCAGTTGTTTTTGTTTTTGGTCTGTTTTTGAATAGGATTTAGAGGAGTTGTGGATAACGTTGGGGACAAGTTGTGGATAAGTTTTGGTCTGGCTTCTTTGTCCATTTTATTGATTTATTCTCATTATGCTAATAATTTTAAATTTTGGGGAAAGAATAAATTTTGACTTAAAAATAACTTACAAATAAAATTGAGTAATACGAGACTTGTATTCATCCGATATTCAGCCTATCTGATACTTCTGAGTTCTTGCCATGAGATTTAGTCTCAAGGATGCATACAACTTTTGCTGCCTAGTGGATGGTGTTTTATTTTGCTTCAGTGACTTATGGTTTATGAGATGGAAAGTATCCTGAATTTGCTGTTGGAGTTGAATACATCTACAATTGAGGGTCAACTATTCTCGTTGTTGGTTAGGAAAAGTGAGATCATTCAGGTTAAAGACTGTTTTTGTTGAGGAATACCCTATTGCATTAATGAGTTAACGAACATGTGATTTTTACTTTGCAAAGATTTTTCTTTTTTCCAAGGAGTTAAAAGTGTCATGCTTTTTGGGTTAACTGTGTCTTGGGACATCACAGAACAACCAAACTTCTTTTGCTGCATTTAAGGCCAGAAAGTGTAGAGTAACTGACACTTTCTAAGTATTTGAGGTCTTTGCTGTTCTAAGAAGCCATCTATTGCATTAATGATCTTCCCAATTATATTTCTGGAGTTATATTGATTACTTATTGATTGTTGGTTGGTTTTGGTAGTTAGTTGAGTTGAGTCAGTGTTTCCTCCAACACAACATCGGCCTCTATTACAGAACCATGTTTCTTTCTAAATTGGGAGCTTTGAGGATCTTGGGTTGGTCTTCTCATGGCACATATTGGTGGGCATCATTTCTCTGGAGGGTCTCTATCAGGTTTGAGATTTTTATGTATTCAAATTAAATCCTATCATATGATTTTGCAAATAGTTGGAGTGTTTAATATCCCAATGGTGGCGGTTTATTGCTTATTGTTTGTGCCCACTTCACTACCAATTATAAGTGGTTGGAACTAAGAATTATGTAAAGAAGTTTTTTTACTGAAACTTGTTCTTTAATTGCTCTCTGTTTGGTTGGTCTACCATAATTAGAGACCCAGTATTTCAATATCTTGGCACTAAAGAAAAATAAATAAAATAATTAAGGCTCTAGCAAGACCAGTTGAATTCCTTGTTTAGTTAAATAAGATCCAGTTGTTAGATAAAATACGATACTTCTAAATTCATGTTTGTTTTAATTTCCTCAAAATTTGGTGGTGAAAAAGCATTATAAGCTCCATTTTATTCAGTTTTTTTTGCATTAGCTTGTCCAGATGACGCTGATTGAATCACCACTACTTGTGCTTGATTCTTGGGCTATTATGGGGTTATTATAGAAACATGAGTCTTGGGCTATTAAAGCAGCTGAAAATACATGAACAATGCTTCTTTGCTCTCTTATTAAAACTTGTCAGTCATTTAAAGGATTTTTAATCTCTATGGTTGCTACTTGCTATGTCATACTCCTATCACATGCTGGAGGTTTGGTGGCTTATCTACTCCATGTTTTAATTTGTTCATCTATCAGTTAATCAATTCAACGGAACTATTATTGACAAAGATACTTGGAATCCATAAATAAACAGAGGCATATTCTTATGTTCACCTTATTTAAATTATTGGTTGTACTAATTATGCATTGTATATCTAAGCTTATCTACTAATCTAAAATTTGAATGAAAATATGTTCTTGGAACTCTTTCTGTTGCCTGACTTTGATCACTGTTGTGGGTAATGGTTCTCTAATCTTGTTTTTTCTGTTGATATGAAACAGTTGTCATAAGTGGTTTGTTAATTGGGAAAACAAAAGAAAGTTTTTAATTTATATCTTGTACTGATCATTCTCCATTCATAGGTTTTACTTGGCATTGGGGAGCTCATCGCTTCAAGGTCTTGCCCCAAGGTAATCTTCTATCAAGGCATCATGTGTATGCCCTTTGACTAGAAAAGAGTCTGTCGAGTAATTGTTGTAAATTTGGTTGATAGTTCAGGAAGTTACTAATTCCTTTGTGATTGGCTCTGCTAAAAATATTCAGTTTAGGCCCTTAATTCCTTTGATGTTCGGATGACATTAATTATATTCGAAGATTCTAGCTATTAAACACCTATTGTGGCTCTTATTATGTAGGGTTTTCAACATTGTTATGTTGTATTAATGCATTTACTTCCTTTATAGGTACTTTTGTTGAATGGTATTCATGATCGAGAAACTAGCGGCTTTTCTGCTGCTTGCTTTGGGTTGGGAGGGTTTCGAGCACAATCTAACTCTAACACACATAAATAGGTTAGTCTCTCTTAATCAATTCATATACATCATTGTATTTGTTTTCAATTCTCTCAAATTTTCTTTCTTTGCTGTTTCCATTAGTTTGGAGGGATTGAATTAGTTTTTGGTTTCAATCTGAGGACTTGATGCTGCAAATGATATCATATACGCCAAGTGTTTGTGTTTTTGCTTCTGTTTCTGTAATATGGTGTTTGTTGCTTTTATAGTTTTGCTCGAGTTCAAATCGTAGAATCGTATCAATTCATTGCTTGTCCTTCTAAGAATTAGTATATAATTTGTTGTTCAAGCTCTTCGGTGATTGAGTTTGTGTCTCGTTTGGTGGCTTGGGGTGTTGTTTTAATAACATAACTTGTTATATTTGTAAATACAATCATGCAGCTTTAATTCTCCGGATTTCTTAGCATATCATTTTTTGCCTTTCTTGACGTCATTAGGGATGGATGCATCACTTATCTATTACAGAAAAAGTATTTAGAACCATAATTGTTTTCAAGAACCCAAAATAATTCATATACTGTCCCACAGTGGAGGCCTCATCGTGCATATGTATGTCATGTAATCATATATCAGCGAATAAGCACTCTCCCTCACATTCTTGTCAGAATAACTTTTTTTCTTCTCTTCTTTTTTCATTTTTAAATTTTAAAATTTTGACAAATAGACTTGCCTAATACTATATATCAAATGACAGTAGTAAGAGATGTAATTAGAAGGCTGTGATTGGTGGGCTTTGCCTAGAGTTCTGTTATTTTTTCAAGTTTTGTTTCTCTGAGACATCTTCTTTCATTGTGGGTTGATGCAATTTTGCATAATTTCTATTACATCATTTGTATGATGCTTCAGCTGAATTATTATGTTTGCCTTTTTATCAGTGAATTAAGGTATGAACTCTTCATCAACTCAATTTGCCACTTTAGGAATGATGGGTTTATACGAGAGACAAATTTTTTAGAAGTGGGCGCACCAATAAATTTTGTAAAATCTAGTCAATTCCTATATATTTTTGTGTTCATTCATGTATTTGGTTTCTAGATTCGTAGTAAAACTCTTTCCGGATAAACCACAAACCTAGAAAAAGTGTCCACAAAAATAAAATGTAAGATGTAGATTAATGAATCTTTGGTCTACATATTTTATTTTCTACAATTAAAAAAATATCTAGCATTAGTCTACATTTTCACACCCACCAACCACTTCATGGTTTTTTATTATAATTCCCCACTCTTTTGGAAACCAAATCAAGTAACCATCACAATCTTATAACAAATTATTGGTTAATTTACAGGTAATGAAGCTCAAGGAACAGCTTTCCGAGGCAAAGAAGGAGATACAGTGGAGAGATGCGATGGTGTTTCAAGCAACAGCCTGGCTTCATTGTTCTCCATGGAAGCCATGGATCCACCTCTTTTTCTAGGGAAGTTTGGGATGCAAGGGTTTGGAAATATTTTTTATGTGCCAGAAAACAATTACAATCATGGCATGGATTGGGTTAATCTTATATGATATGTAATTAAAGCAATTCTAGTATTAATGTAGCTAGTGACCATCTTATGTACATTTTTTTTTTTTTTTGCCCTTGGCTTTGTTTTTATGTTGTAGTGTTTCAGTGGTACTTTAAATTTGACTAGAATTTTTATTTATATATTGGACTTTTTATATTATTATATAATTATTAGTTTTTTTTTTATAGTTATTTTTCATTTAGTACAGGTCATTTTCATATTTTTAATAATTTTATTACAGTTTTTTTTTAAAATTTTTTTAATTTTATATATTGGACTTTTTGCGATGGCACTTATACTGTCGCAAAAAGTAGGGAATATAATTGCAAAATAAGGCCTTTAGCGACGGTATCGTAGCCGTCGACAATAGTCATTAGCAACGGCCCAGGTTGTTGTCTCAAATAGACTTTTAGCGACGGTATTTTTGCCGTCGCAAAAAACCCTTTTAGCGACGGCAATACTGTGCCGTCGCAAAAAAACTCAGATTTTCATCCATCATTGGCGACAGAAATTTGCCGTCACAAAAAAGGAATTTTCCCGTTGCAAAAGCAAAGGCGACGACACTTGTCGTCGCTAAAACCCTTTTGCAACCCCTTTTGTTGCGAACCCCACCTGTTGTCGCAAAAAGCCATTTTACCGTCGCAAAAACCTTTTGAGACGGCATTTGGGGTATTTGCGACAGCGTTTTGCCATCGCAAAAAACAATTTTTTTTGTAGTGAGCTCATCATTGTGGATTCAACATCAACGTTGTGGATTCAATGTTGGGCAAAACAATTATGAGTTGAAGACCGTGGTAGAAGAGGCACATTGGGTTTAGTTTAATTAAGGCGTAAATTCACTAGGTAATTGAGAGTACTCTTGTATAATTCTTTTTTGTCTTCTTAGTGGATTGTTTTGTAGTTTTGGCCCATGGTTTTTTTTTATCATAATTGGAGGCGCTACAATTTTGATTTTTTCTATGTTAAATCGTTGTGCCGATTTATCTTGGCTATTTGATTGCGATTGTTATTTATTATTTTAAATTGAAATATAACCACAAGTCAATATCTCCGGGATTTTTAAATTTTTCATTATTATTGTTATTTTAATAGACTGACTCCAAAATAGTAAATGAAAAGATCAAATTATCACCAATAGAAGCAAAGGGACTATATTATCCTCAAGATGCTATTTTACATATATTTTTATTTTATTTTATTAAATTTAATAGAGTTACATGATGAAATTAAACATGTTATGACACACTTTGAAATTCTGACAATTATATTGGCCTCTCCTCATTTTATTTTTGAAATTATGCCAATTCCCCATGGACTAACGGCGTTCATGGAAGGATTAATTTAGTAATTTTAATATTAAAGATATTTTTGTTGATAACCATTAAACGTGTAATTATTATTTTTGTTGTACCTTGCATTTCTAAATACTCACATGGTTTGACAATAAATATATATATATATATATATATAATTTATTGTTTTACATATTTACAAGTTCATGTATTTCTCATTTGGTTTCATGATTCATATTAATTTATTTACTTGAAAAATGATTAATTGATTTATTTTATTCTTAATTTACAGATAATCACTTCAAATGTTATACCAATCAAACTGAAATCCCCATATGTGCTAATCTAACAACTAATCGCTGATTTTTGTTAACCAAAAAAAAAAAAAAAAAACCGAAAAAAGAACCGTTAGTCAAACTAACGGTCAACTCATAAATTGGGAGAATCTACAAATCAAAATTAAATCTCAAGTGAGATCTGTAGTGGTAGAGCTAGAATTTTAGCTTAGAGGGGACACCATTGAGTTGAAATCTTAACAAAAATTACAATCGAACTTAATCTAATTTTTATTTGATGGTAGGAATAAAAAGAGATGTAATGCAAATGTTATATTTAAACATAAGCTCGAGTTAACTGATCTTAATCATTTTTTGATTTTAATTTGATTTTATGTACGATGATCACATGGTTTGAAAAATAATCACATGCTTTATAAAATATGAAAACGAAATTATATTAAATTGCGCACATAAAAGAGATGTAGATAGGAATAGATAATATATATATATATATATATATATATAAAAGAAATATGAATAAATAATACAAAGACATTGCTATATATCACTTAATTTTTTTTACTTTCACGGCCCACATTTTTATTACCCAGTTAAAATTACAAAATCCATCATTATAGTCCATTTTCATTAATACAATACAGAAATAAAATCCACTGACATCCATAAATACATAAAGATTCCCTATTCCTATAAACAAATTGAAATGAAACATGAACTACGAATAAATAAATTGCCCATAGGCTTACACTATTATATAAAAGAGAAAGGGTTCAACCCTCTTTAGAACAAAAGCGTTCCGCCAACAAAAAAAAAGGCCCGTTGCCAACACGTAAAGAAGATCACCGATCTTGTATCACTTATCAACCTGTACCTAAAAAAGGATTAACAACGTGGAATGACCAAAAAACCCAACATGATCCTAAACAATAACAACATCCAGATAGCTATGATCATGAATGCTTCATATCATACATTATAAATAATGTGACGGGTTTATTAATCAAAATATCCTTGCATATATAAATTTTTTCAAAAATTTATCCAATTTGCTCAACTATACATAATGTTCTCTCTTCCTCCTCGCACATTATCTATTTCATAAAGACATATATTAACAGTGTGTTTTCTATACCATTTTCACAAAACTAAATCACCTTTCATTACTTGCATTCCCAAGCCATCACATACATCCATTTCTAATACATGAATGACATTTCCAAGCCCTAAGCCAAGGGTAACGAGGCATTTCTACAATCCATTCGACACACAAATTTACATACAATACCTTTAACACGAAAAGAAAATAATGTACATGCCAAGACTACGACATAATCACATGAAACAACCCGACTTCATCAACCCGAACCACTACCACATATGATATACACAAATAAACCAATTCAACACTGAAACCCCAAACCTATGCTCTATCTCCCTCAAGCACGATAGGCCAAGATACAAATTTCCACAACGAAACTACAATTTACCAGACACAAGCTAGAAAGGAATGGTACCTCTACCAATTTACCAGACATAAGTTGGAAGGGAATGGTACATCTCTCAAGTTCTCTTGGCGCTTGCGGGAAGGTACTGGTACCTCTCACTCTCAGCGTAGTATACACTACCAACCACCACGACATGCTAAAAACATCATAACACAAGCGTAATACATATACATGATCTATTCAACACATTAATGTCATCATCTACCAATGACCAATGACAAAACCTTTAAGCACATGTATTTATTACGTATAACTACAACCGTCCAAATCCCGTGGAACATAAGCCTAACAATAACAACAACATACAATTTCACTTTCACAAATCAAACCCAAAAACCCCTTTACATGAATTTGATATCACATAACTAAATCATACTTTTTATGCAATAGAAATATACTATATGTTTATCTATAAGGAAATATTGAGAAAGAGAAAAGAAATCCCTACCTCTAGCAAGTAGAGGAGAAAGCTCAAAAATCCAACTTCAATGAAAACACGATCTGCTCATATTACTAGAAAGCTCTCTTCATGCTCTACGCTTTGGTATATGGAACTAAACGTAGAAAGTGAATGAAAATAGATGAAAACCAAGCTAAAAAGTTTTAAACCCTCAAAAATGGAAGAAGAGAAAGAAAAATGATCTAGATTGACCAAAAATGACTTTTTTACAGTGCTGATCTCGAACAGACCGCTCGAGCGATAAAACTTGCGCTCGAGCGTCAGAGACATAAGACTGCTCGCTCACTTATGAAATTGTTGTCAAATTATCTGTTGATGTATTTATTATCTGTTTAGAAATAAATTGCTTTGGGCTATCGGTGGAGGATAGTCTTGATTGTTGTAGACAATGCATGATGATTATGCGAATTAAAACTAATCAATTGATTATGTCATCGAATATGACGGTTGGAATAATACATCAAATTTATGTATTGAATGCTCATGTATATGATATGTGTTTATATACATTGTGTTGTGTGGGAGGAGATAGGGGATGCACTCCACGGTTTAGGGGAAGATAAGGGATGGACTCCTAAACCGAATTTTATTTGGGAGGAAATAGGGGATGAACTCCATTGATACAGCAAATCTGTGTATCATTTATGAAGTATGGAAGTGTTTTAATGTGTTATTAATACAGCGAATCTGTGTATCATTTATGAAGTATGGAAGTGTTTTAATGTGTTATTAATACAGTATACATTGTGTTATGTGGGAGGAGATAGGGGATGCACTCCACGGTTTAGGGGAAGATAAGGGATGCGCTCCTAAACCGAATTTTATTTGGGAGGAAATAGGGGATGAACTCCATTGATACAGCAAATCTGTGTATCATTTATGAAGTATGGAAGTGTTTTAATGTGTTATTAATACAGCGAATCTGTGTATCATTTATGAAGTATGGAAGTGTTTTGATGTGGTATTGATACAGCAAGTATGTGTATCTATTGTGAATTACAAAAGTGTTTTGATATGGGTTATAGTCTCATTAAATTATTGGCCAGGTTCTGAGCCTTATTCATAAATTGAGAACTGGATAAGTAATGGAAAATGGAATGAAACATGGACATATTTGTCATGAAATTGAAATGTGTTATAAGTTGGCATATATGAGTTAAACATTTATCGAATACTAATGTTTTAGTTATTGCTCATATTATGTTTAGCATATCTCTACTGGGCGTTGGCTCACCCTATATGGGACATCATTTTTCAAGTTTAGGTATTATGCCGCCTCCGAGGTCTTAGCTTGGATGGTTGTGGGGGTTGAAGGCTCTTGTTTATTTTTGTGTATTACATGTAAATCAAGCCAAGGGCTTATTTTGTGCTTTGAGTTAGTACTCTTTTTTTGTAACCAAGTGTTGACTTGAAAAGTTGTAAGCTCGTAGGGCATTTAGTTTTGATATCAACATGTAATACTTTTGTAATGAATACTCTGATAAATAGAATTATGCT